GTAAATGTGGCATATGCTCGCAAACAGGACACGATCGCCGTAAATGTTCTTCAGCTGGTTTGGGTGGCGATGGTAATCCAGCTCCTGGTAGAAGTTTATCTAATATGCCCAACTATCAAGGATACACATAGTGTTTTATTTTCGTAATGTGGTTGTAATAAGTGTATGTAGTTGTTTATGTTGCAAGATGTATGAAATAAAATTTTGTTTCCATTGTTGTTAAATCTTATTGATATTTAACATTTTTCAGTTGAGTAAATTAATAAATTTCTCCCTCCCGTTCATGTAATCAAAAATAGTATTGAATTAAAAAATGGAAAAATTCTTACGTTGACTTTCAAATTTCACTCTAAAATTATTATAAAACTACAGTGTCATAGGAGGAAGATGTTTGATAAATATGTGAATGCTACGTTATGTGTGTTGTCTTGTCGATCTGAAAAGCTGCCCGCATGCGAAAAAGTTATTTTGTATCCGAAAGAATCTTTAACACGCGAAGCATAGCGCGGTTAAATACTACGTTATGTGTGAGCATATATAGCACGGTTAAATACTACGTTATGTGTGTTCTCTTGTCGATCTAAAAAGCTTCACGCCTACAAAAAGTTATTTTGTATCCGAAAGAATCTTTAACACGCGAAGCATAGCGCGGTTAAATAGTACGTTACGTGTGAGCATAGCGCGGTTAAATACTACGTTATGTGTGTTTGTCTTGTCGATCTGAAAAACTTCCCGCCTGCAAAAAAGCTGTTTTTTATCCTAAAGAATCTTTAACACGCGAAGCATAGCGCGGTTAAATAGTCGGGGTGTGCATTCGAATCGGTTTATCGATAAATCGAATCGATTATTTGTTATCGAAATCGAAATCGAAAAAATCGAAACCTTATTGAAACGATAACGATAAGCATATGTACAAATCGATAAGTAATTATCGATAAGGGTCAAAATCGAATCGATAAATCGAATGCACATCCCTAGACTGTAGACACTTGTTAAATGAGTAATTACCTATTTGTGTAGATTAATATAACATACAGAATGTATATATATTCCGCTACTATTTTGAAAGCGGCTATACAATATTATTTTCCCTAATCTATACCATTTCTTTTACCCTAAGTCCTTTACCCTATTATTTCCTCTACCACATTTAAGGAATGATCATAAAGATCAAGGGAATGAAGTTCAGATTAATGGAAAACAGAATTAGTCGTGATGATGTGTTTTGTTTTGTTTTGTTTTTTTTATACCGTTGGAGTGTTGGTGGCATACATTTGATCCCTTACTTTAGTTTTGTTGCATGTGCTTGTTGACATAATTTTTATATTATAAATGGTGTTCGTCTTATTTTAGCTTCTTTTTGTCCATATTAGTTAGGCGCGTTTATAGCGATATACTTTTCGTGGAATCCCGCAAATTTTCTTATTGGTGTAATTGATAACCGAATCGATAAGCCCCCAAAATCAATAAATCGAAATCGAAAAAATCGAGACCTTATTGAAACAATAACGATAAGCATATGTACAAATCGATAATCGATAAGGGTCAAAATCGAATCGATAAATCGAATGCACACCCTTATTAAATAGTACATTATGTGTGAGCATATGTAGCGCGGTTAAATACTACATTGTGTGTGTCCTCTTGTCGATCTGGAAAGCTGCCCGCCTGCAAAAAAGCTATTTTGTATCCGAAAGAATTTTTAACACGCGAAGCATAGCGCAGTTAAATACTACGTTAGGTGTGAGCATAGCGCGGTTAAATACTACGTTGTGTGTGTTGTCTTGCTTATAAATAACGGGCGCATTCTAGTTATTTTCTGCGCTTAACCATAACAAATAGCAAAACTTTCCATAAAAAGCAGGTTTTTTTTTGCTTTAACAAATGTCTTAACGCATTTATGTATCAATGTGCCAATGTGAAAAACGATGTATGTTGGCGGACTGTTAGGATGATGGTCAAGTTGGGCGCAGATACTGGATGTGTGTGAACAGGTCTGGAGGCAACAACGAAAATTTTTACAATTTTGAGGTATGGTTTGATGAACCCTGTAAGCAGGAATGCTACAAAGAGTCTTTGCAGTATTATCATGATTTGACCAAAAGAGACTGGGATGATGAGATTATGTATAAACGAGAAATTGCGGCGTTGAAGGAGAAACTAAAAGAGGAGGAAGAAGAAAAGAATAAGTTGGAAGAGAAATTTAAGTGCTTGGAGCAGAGAATACTAGGCGGTCGTGACTAAACAATGACATGTATGTGACGAGTATAGTACCTTATCTTTATGTTTTCCGTGTCATGTGTTTTCATTAGTTGTACTGAATTTAAATTATGTTAAGTTGCTATGTTTGTGTTTGTGTTGTAGTATTAAAATAAAGAAGAAACGGGAAAATAAAAACATAACGTGCATATAATGTAAACATAAAAAATTGTTATTATTATTATTTACATAAAATAATATTTACGTAAAATACAAAAAAAAATCAATGTGTCCCACAGCCTGTGTGCTTCAATGCAGCCACTGGCATGAGGCACATCCCATCCAGCCCGGATATGCTATCAGGATCATCCTCATCACGTCGCCTCTTTATCGCAGGATGCGCTGCTGTATAATCGTCAACGGAAAACGACTGGTCCCAGCCCAGTACATTCTCATCCTTTGGTCGGAAACCAGTGAGCCGCTGCAGCATGTCCAGGTACTGCACACCTCTCATCTCTCTCATGGCATGCGGCAGAGCAACAGGGTGTCCATTAACGGGCAGCCCATATATAACCTCCACGTCCTGCAGTGTGATGGTGGCCTCGCCAATGGGCAAGTGGAATGTGTTCGTCTCCGGTCGCCACCGCTCTATCAGGGCCGTGACCAAAGACCAATCGAGCTGCAGGCGCCCAATCTCCAAAATCCTGTAGAAGCCCGTATCCCGCAGGCGTCTGAATACACGGGGATGGAGCTGGCGGTCCTTAAGAAAGTCCCACATGTCGTCCACTCTCTTGACGCGGAGAGTCTGGACCAGTAACTCTTCCTCCCATATGTGGGCGGATCTATGATCGCCCTGTAACGACAGTAGCTCATCGCTGGAAGATCCGGGATGAATAGGCGGCACCTCCATGTCGTCTACTGTAAATTAAACAACATTAATTACATGTTAGTTTTATAATTTTATATGTTTGTTTGTAAATTAAATAATTTAGGGTTATAATTATATAGTAAGTTATTATGTATTCACATAAGGGTTCCAGGCCTGATATTTGAGGCCCAGGAGCACCAAGATATCCTGAATTCTTGTATGTCTTAGTTTTATTATTTTACATGGTAGTTTTATAATTTTATATGTTTGTTTGTAAAGTAAATAATTAGTTTTTATAATTACACAATATTTAATTATTAAATATTCGCATATGGGTTCCAGGCTCGATATTTGCGGCCCAGTAGCACCAAGATATCCTAAATTCTTGTATGTGTTAGTTTTATTATTTTACATGTTAGTTTTATTTGTTTGTAAATTAAATAATTAATTTTTATAATTATATAATATTTAATTATTAAATATTCACAAATGGGTTTCAGCCTCGATATTTGCGGCGCAGTAGCCCGAATTTGTATGTGTTAGTTTTATTAATATTTTACATATTAGTTTAATAATTTATATGTTTGTTTGTAAATAATTAATTAATATAATTATATAATATTTAATTATTAAATATTCACATATGAGTTCCAGGCTCGATATTTGCTGCCCAGTAACACCAAGATATCCGGAAAATATTGTTGTTTTCTCATGTTACTATAATTGGACAGAGTTTGTGTTTGATCTATCAATTATTTTGATGTATTTTTGAGTATAATAGTTACTTAAACTAAAGAGATACTACGCTAAAAGGCACTACATTTTATTATGCTAAAAGGCAATATATTTTACTACCCTAAAAAGGGCACTACATTACTAGTCTTTAAGCAAATAAATAATGTAAACCAGATAAAAACAACAAATACATTTAATCACAAAACATTCATGAAAATACATATACAACAGTAAAAAAACTTATTTACATTTTTTTAAACAAATAATAATAATTTTTCAATTTTTACATATTTTTTTAGCACACTAATATCTAAATCCGGATAAAAATAACATACCAGTTTAATCGCAAAAAACATACAAAACAACATAAAACACATGTAAAACAACTAATATGCAATTTTAATACGAGTTTCAACAAAAACTAAATCGGAATACCTCGATTTATGTTTTTTGGAAAGTTGAAAAATTGAAGATTTGAGTCCGAAACGAGCAACCCACAATGAGAGAAGGTCTTAGCTAGGATGTGGGACCAACACTCTTTACTTTTTGTGAGACGGATGGGGTCCACTCGAGTTTTTTGGGTCGTTCATGGGGGGGGGGGGGGGGTTGGGTTTCTTTCGTGGTTTAGCGGTAGGGGGAAGGGAA